TTAAAAGGTAATCTTGTACAATGAGCTAATTTAAGCTTGTATATCAGGCCTCAAAGGATATTGGCAAATATTAGGTAGAGGCAAAATATTATCAATAAGTATTTTAATAGGAGCAGCTGACTTAATTTTGTCAATCAATATCTATACTGGAGAAAAGCCTAAAATTGTGTTAGAACATCCTATAACAAACATTCTGTCATTATCACAACTAATTTTCTCTTCTGGTGCTGGTGGGGTGGCCCTGGACTTGGCCTGTCTAAAATCTGGCCTGCCTGTTAATGCCCAGGAGGGAATATGAACTCCAGCAGTCATAAAATACAGAAGTTTACATAACTATTAGTAAAACTTAATTCTTAGGTTTAGTTCTCTTTTTTTTTTAGCTGAGCCATCCTGCCACCTGTTGGCAGCTCAGTGGCTGCTCAGCTCGGGCCGGGACTCAAACCGCTGTTGCTCAGAGCTCAAACTGTTGAGCAAGCTCTTAACCAACTGAGCCACTCAGCCGGATTTAGTTCTCTTGAGTAACTAAAGACCAAATTAAGACAATATAAAACAGAGAAATATTTTGATGACAAATAATTTTTGCCTTTCAGGCAGAAAACATTTTCATATCAGTAGTAGACCAACAGTTTTGTATCAAACTTTGTCTTACTTAGTAGCAACAGAAAAATTAATTTTGCATCACCTTATTCTTGATATTTAAATTTACTTAATCACATTTAGCATAACCATACATAAAATTCTTTCAAGATTTTCCTTTACAAACTTTCTATAACTTTCCCAGTTCCTTAGTTTGTCTCTTTTAAAATCATTATTTCCCCAATCTTTTTCATTTAGTCCTAAATACATTTCACTCTTCTGGGAGGATATGTGAACATCATTGATTAGAAAGTCTCACACTATCAAATGAGTAGGGGCAGATTTGAGTAATAAAAAATATATATTGCCCATTAACATTTCATAGTTTGAAGGGAACAGGTTCTGATTTAAAAACAGGTTAAATCAGAACAGGTTCTGATTTAAAAATCGGTTGATTAGATGTCCCTATACCATTTGTACAGAAGCTTTACTCCAAGGGGGAGGGCAACTTAGCCGGGTGGTGTTAACAGATAAAGTGGCCCCAGTGTTAGTAAGAAGAGGAAATGCACTTATGGCCCTTGGAGCAGCCCTATGCTTGTTTGTATTTCCTTTTTTATTTTTCTTCTAAATCCTATTTTAGCTTTCTACAATCCTTAAGGTGACCTGGCTTCTTACAATAAAAGCACATTCCTCTACAGGAGTTTCCCTAGCAAACCTTTAATAATTCTGTTGTTTTGCTCTCAGAAACTAGTAGGTGCATTAATTGGGATAAATCAGAAAAGCAGGATTATATGTTCTAACATTTAATTCAAATTTCTTTGCGAACTCATCAGGGTCCTAGAGTGTTGGGAGAATCTTTAGATTTTTTAGTTCTGCCGGCATACAACCACAGATTCCCCTCCACCCAAGACCAGCTCCTCTCCAAAGGGAGTTGCAACAGAAGTGTAGAAGAGAGAGACAGAGGAAAAGGAGAGCACATCCGGACAAGTAAAGCACATATTGGGACAGCCATAGAGGGAAAAGTGAGGGCCAGCAGAGTGGCTCAGTTGGTTAAGAGCTTATGCAAGAGTGCGAGTTCTGAGCAACAGTGATTCGATGCCCGGCCCGAGCTGAGTTGCGGCTGAGCTGCCAACAGGTGGCAGGATGGCTCAGCTAAAAAAAAAAAAAGAGGGAAAAGTGGGGTGTTGGCATTTAGCAGCTTCAGAAACCTTTAATTCAGAGACAATCTCAAAAATTTTCTTAACTTCCTGGGGGAGAAGAACATCTCTCTGTACCATTTTAGAGGCTTCTTTTTATTTGCCAATTGAGGTAAGCCTCCCATTCTATTTGGTTTGACCTTTAAGCCAGCTTTTCTAATTGTGCACACAAATATTTAGATGTCAAAAGAGCTCCATTTTGGCCATCTTAAGTTGATATCACTTCTACATAAATCTTTCCATGTCTGTAAGTAATTACAAAACTCCTAGGAACTGTACATCTATCTGCAAAAGAATAATGGCGCTGGAGTCTGGGAGCTTGTCAGCCTTTGAGGCACGATTTCCCATGTTAATTTTTAGTTTTCTTTTGAGATCTGCACAGTCTGAACAAATATATAGTGATATTATGTAGTGGGTTGAAGTGTGCCGCTTATGGGTTGAGCTCCAAAGGGTTGTCACCTCCCGAGTTGCTTCAACCCTCTTACGTGTCTCAGTTCGTCTCCCCACCTGTTTAGTATAACCGTGAGGACTCAGAGCACTAGGTAACCAGCCTTTATATGCACGTCCCCGGAGGAGTCCAATATTTAATTACAATTGTGTTGGAATTCCCTATGGGGCCACTGCACATTTTGAGGAGTACCCTCAAACATCCCCACAAAGATTCTTAGTCACTTGAGAATACCCAAAATTCGAGCTGGGGGGAGTAAATGCCCTTTATCTCAGAGTTGAACAAGTTCAGACTCATTTATCCGGGGAAAAGTTTTGTTCAGACTCGCAGTAACCAATTTCAATTGAAAAGTCAAAATTAAAACCAACCACCCATTTCATTTCTCCTCTCCAAGAGTTTTCTTAACTCTTGTCCTTAACCTGTGTTACCTCAACCCTGCCACCTCAAGGATTTTAAAACAGCTCAAGTAAAGTCAGGGCCTCCTACCTTAAAACAGGGAGGTCCGGGATTCCAAGAAAAACTCACCCAAGTTCACCCAATGCAAAGCAGGGGGCTGATAGGGCACAATGGGCCCCTGCTGGTACCTAGCACGAATCCAGGTCCACAGGGTGTTCCTGGGTGGGCTTCTTTGGAATCCTGCCCAACTATGCCAAGTAATGTTGACGAAAAACATCCAACCTAAGAGAAAACTTATAAGAGTTTATTTGAGCCAAACTGTTGACAATTGCCAGGAAGCAAAATCTCAACAGATTGAGAAAATACTCTGAAGAATGGCAGTTTTACAGTTTATTTTTACATAAAATCAAAGGAGGAAGGTTACATGAAATCCATTGGTGACAGATTAAGGCAGTGGGAGAAAGTAAAGTGGGGAAATCTCTGGGATTCGATAAAAGTAAATTGGAGAGACAGGTACTTCTTTTACATAGGTGGGTGCAGGATAGTTAACAGTTAGCTTTTTACAGCACATAGAGATAGTAATCAGGAGATAAGTATGATAAGGAGGAATTTTGCAGTTTTCAGCTCTGGTCCAGAAAACGGATTAAAGGTGTTATTTTAGGTACAGAAAGACAACAGGCCCACTGAAAAGGCACAGATTAATTTAATGAGGAAGCTGAAGATGTGACTTCCCACCATGGCCCACTTAGTTAAAAATCTTTGTGTGTGTGTGTGTGTGTGTGTGTGTGTGTGTGTGTGTACGCCATCTTAGTTTTAGTTTCCTAAGCTTGTCAGGTTTAAACTGTGGCCCCTTTTCCACCCACAAAGTCCACAATACAAATTTAATTTAAAAAAACTGGGGTCGGGGGAGGAAGGAGTTGGATTTTAGATACTACTTTTAAAACTTTGATATTATCAGAAACATTTGGACTCAGTATCATCCTGTAAACTGAACGGTTTTAAACTTCTCATTTAAATAAAAATAATCCATAGTTTATAAATGGTTTCATTTTAGTGTATCGAGGTCATATAGAAGTTTCTACTGATTTAAAGTCATAACATGTACTTTCTTTATATATAACTAAATTGTGGAATTAACAAGTAGTAGTCATTCAGTTTAAAAGTGTGTTTGTTGTGATTCCAGTTACAGATGTTTCATGAAGTCACCTGTGTCATCCTCCACACATCTTGCCCACTCAGGTCTGCTGGTCCCCACCTGGTCCCGGCAGCTCACAGAACCAATGGCTCGGAGGCCTCTCAGCAGCAAGGCTCGCCAATTCCCTATGGGCTTATTTAACAGCCTCTTTAGTAAACCTCACATTTAAAGGTTTAAAAAATTAAATCAGTAACAAAGACAATTTCATCCTTAGAGGAAACATGCTATATGCAGAAAGCAGTTTTATTCAGAAAGCAGTTTTATTAAGCAGATATTAAAATCACAGAACAATTTGCACCAGGGTTGCAAGGTGTCCTCTTTAGTGCTGATAAAAGGGCCCTGTCACTATTTTGACAATTAGAAAAATTGAGACTCAGGAAGTCCTAAAATAGGCCCTCAAATCACTCCCTTCTTGGATTTGGAATAGGCTCGTTATCAGACAACAGTGGGTGGCAGTTACCCCTGTGCTCTCGGGTGTTTGGATACCGCGCACTCTGCAGACTTCTTATACTAGCTGTGCATTTCATGTCTTTTCAAATATTTAATTCTAAGCCTTAGTTGTTTCATCGTTTACATGGGGGATTAGTAATACTGATTACTACGAGGGGTGCTATATGAAATAAGTAAAGCATGTAACATATTTACCACCATGCTGGGCACAGAGAAAAGGCTGCTGGTGGGACTATAGACTCATCCTCAGAAAGCAGGTGCTGAAATTTCGCTCTTTATATTCGTGCTCCCCATTCAAGACTTTTGGGACCCAAGCCTGTTGGTTATGTTCCACACAGCGTCTCCCTTTTCTAGCTGGGCCCCTCCCATCTGCCGGTATAAAGAGTTAGCAATATAAAATCTCCATTTTCCTTTGAAAACTTCTTTCTTCATGTTTATTTTTTTTCCCCAGTGAGAGAAAGGCTTGTTGCCTTGGTCACCAATGTTTTACATCAGGGGTTGAACACTCCTGCTGCTGTCAGCACTGTAAACACTGTTGGGGAGAGGATCAGCCATGTCTCCACCCACTCTTACTTATCCCCCAGCAGCATCTCGCTGAGAGGACAGTCCTGGAGGCTCTGCATGGGCCCTGCCTGTCACAACAGGCCATTGCCTAACAGGTTTCCACAGCAGACCTCAGAGATCTCATTGTTTCCTGTGGACTAGGCAAAGGGTAGGAAATACCTGTGTCTTCTGTACTCATCCATCTTGTATCCTGATGCAGTTACACCAGGACGTGGAGTAAAGACACCTTCAAATACAAACACTGGCAGACTGAGCTTCCCTGGAAATTGATCTTCAATGTACTGATGAGAGGAGACTCTCATACCAGACGCATCAGTGGAAAAATGAGCCGGAGCCACCCTGTTAGGTAAGAACAGAGGTCATCCAGGTCTTAGAGACAAGAGGGACATTTAAAAGCCTCCAGAATAAACTGCAATGCATGCATGATTGTTCCTTTTCATTAAGAGGTGTGCATACTTGCTTGGTCTCACAATCTTTGAAAGCGGTGACACATTAATCAAAATCTACAAGTTACAAAATGATTGCATAATATTTATTATACATTAAATACTGTATATACCTTTATATTTGTTATTGTATTACATTTTATACACATGTAAATTTCTGCTTATGCTTTTTTATATGTTAAACTTAAATACTTTTCTTTAAATATTCTAGGCTTCTGTTTATGATCAGTTTGGCATTACAGATCATCCATTTGGGAAACAGTAAGAAGCATTTATTTAGTCTTTTAGTTTTTATTGTGTATTTGTTTCTCAATCATTATCAGTTTCATATTTTCAATGTTTTTATAAGGCTATCAAAGAGAGAAACATAAAGGCAGTACAGAAAAAATCAACAACGCCACAGCTCAGAAGCTCCAGCAGGAAACATTCAACTGGACTTGGAATAATTTTAGGGAGGTGAATGGGAGCGCGGAGTACCGGATGTCGCAGGACTCGCTTCCCCACTCCCGGGCTTTCCAAGAGCGTAAGTCGCGACGCTGCCTTAGCGTCTTTTTGGTCATCTCAGTCACCAGACGCCGAGTTTAGGGTTTGATAAAAACCTGGGATAAACTAAGGATAAAACGAGAAACCCAACAGAGAACATTTCATTATCTTCAAATGATGATACACTATAAAGTAAAAATATTTCCTAGTGAGGTGTTCTTTTACTCTGAAAACAACGTTTTACTATTTCATTGGTAAAACGTTGCATTTGCTAAATTGGTTTTTTTTTTTTCAGATCCAGAGAACTGATTTAAATGTATTTAAAACAAATATCCCAACCCAAGATAATAGCTGACTCTTGCTTGGCTTTTTGCAGACTTCCAGGCTCCAGCCCCCAGGTCCACAGGGGGTCCCTCTGGCAAAGGGGGGGGTGTCGGGGGGGGGGTGGCGTCATCGCGCCTGTGGGTGGTCCCTGCCCAGGAGGCCTGTCTTTAATCACTGACACGGGAAGTCACAGCCTGAATTTAACATGTGAAAGGAGGGAAGAAAGAAAACCTGACTTGTTGGGGGCAGGGTTTCACGTCTTGTCATGCTGCCCGTTCCTTACCCGCTAGCACCCCAGGTCGTTTGTTTTAAATCCTTTAATTAACAAGCAGGATTTACCTGAGCAAATACATTTAACAGGGAGCTAATTTTATTGCCTCCCCGGGGCAATCTCGTCCTGTCTGTCCCGGCGGGTCTAACTCAGAGAGCGGCGCGCTAAGCGCTGAGCTGACGCGCAGGCGACCCCCATAGGTGCGCCCCCTCGGCCGCGCTGCTGCAAGAACGGCGGTACCTGCGTGCTGGGCAGTTTCTGCGTGTGCCCTGTCCACTTCACTGGCCGATACTGCGAGCACGACCAGAGGCACAGGTGCGCGCAAGGATGAGCGGGAGGGAGGGACAGCAGTGGGCGAGGCGGGGGCGCAGCTCGCGCTGGTCGCACTAACATCGGTCTCCGCCTTCTCAGCGAGTGCGGTGCTCTAGTGCATGGAGCCTGGACTTTCCGCGGCTGCCGGCTATGCAGGTGCGTCTTCGGGGCAATGTACTGCCTCCCCAGCCAGACACCCGGCCGCTGCGGTAAGGAGACCCTGTGCTCACAGCCACACATGCATGCAGTTGCTCCTTTATACACACCGATCCATAGCGATCTACCTGTGCCAGGCGACACAGAAATGAACAAACTGAGTCAGTTCATCATTCAGAAAAGTCACATTTGTTGTGAATCACATAGTGCATTGTCATTTAAAAATTATTCCTAAATTTCCCATTTCCCGATTGCTGGGTTTAAACGTGATTTCCAAGCAGTGGTCCTTAAATGTCTTTTACAATGAGCGGAATTTTGGGAGCACACAAGCTGGGAAGCAGAGCCGAGCCTGGCAGACATGTTACCTGACTAAATCTGCAGTGATTTCCCCACACTGCGACCACACTATCTGAGCTGGGAATAAGGAGGGCACTGGAGGGGGACGGCACAGGCCTGGATGGCCAGACGCTGCCCTGCAGGGCCAGCTCGTCAGTGCCCCCAGGGAAGGAAGATGTCTTGTAACCACAGCGCAGGCCTGCCACACAGATTAAAAGCCAGAAGGGTGTGGAGAACACACAGGGGTGAACACTCATTTGCGAAGATTCTTAACAGTCACCAACTCAAAGCAAATGTTCCACTTGTAAAACCCAGTAAAGAACACGCATTCCCTAGCTCAAAAAACAGATGTAGTGCTCTGCTGCTGAATCACCACCTTGGGCAGGGTCCAGGAGCCCATGAAAGAAGGCACAGCAGCTTATTCCCACATCCGGTGCCTCCTCTCATCAACAGACTCTGGTTGGGATGGAGTGAGGGGCACCGTTAATGAAGGCACAGCCTGCCATTCAGCCCTCTTTGTCAGCCCTGGGGGGTGGGGATGGAGGCGCTTGGCCGTACAGTGTGAAGTCAAAGCTCTTAAGCCCACTTTCCTGTTCCTTCCCCCACCTCAGTCAACTCTAGGCAAATCCCACAGTTGAAGGGCACACTTCATGGTAGCACAGCCCTTCAGCCCCACTCCCTTGTCTGTTGTCAGGACTGCCAGTGGAGGGGCAGCACGGGGTTGGAGGGGGTGGAGGATGTGCGCGGGTAGGGGGGCTGTAGCCCTTGAAGCCCACTTCCTGCCTCCACCCTCTTTGTGGGGCCAGTAGTGGAGGAATACACTGAATGGATGCTCAGCTTTAAACCCATCGTCTTGGCTCTCCCTCCCTCCCCTGCAACCTTGGGTAGGATTAGCAGTCAAAGGGATACTCTTAATGAAGGTGCAGCCCTTCATTCTGTCTTCCCAGCCAGCTCTGCAGGGTGCCAGCAGTGTCAATAGGGGAGGGTGATTACACTACTATCTGTGGCACTTTCCCCTACCACTCTTTAGCTGACCACATTTTCCAAAGCCCTCCCTCTCTTATGGGCTTTCCATTTGCTGGGCTTATGCCCCTTGATTCGCACTAGTTGCTCCCTTTATGTCCCAGGAAAAGGAGGACACAAATTAGAGAACAGGCGTCAGAATTACAGGTGGTGCCTGCGTGTTCCTACAGGTGAAATAATTTCCCACCTGCCATTGGTGCTCCAAGCAGTCATGTGGGGAAGGGGCTAGCTGTGATCATTTTCATTTTCCTATGCAAAGCCAGCTGGGGTTGAGAAGCAGCAGGGTAGGAACTGGGTTTAGGATATTTGCTCATTGTTTTACATCCTTGGAAATATGCAAGACTGGGACTGCATCTGCCAAGGACAGTGACAGTGGCTCCAAAATGTGGCTTCTGTTCATCAAAGTTGAACAAAATAGTTCAGAGTAATTTGTTTGAAATTTGAAATAGTTTCAGAGTAATTTGTCAGGTGCAGAAAGGGAAGTAGCACCTTTGCACTCTGACTCACTGTCCCTGCTTCAAGGCAGTGACAATGGTGGTTATGAGGATGTGAGGATGACAATGATGATAGCAGCTGTGCTGATGAAGGTTTATGATGACATGAGGATGAGAGTGATCATGAGGATCACTCTTTGTTAGCTTTCAGTATATTTTAGGTACTTTAAACACTTTATCCCATTCAGTTCTCATAATGTCAGCCAATGGTCATTGGTACCAATTCAATGCCAACTGGAATCTCCGGTTTGGAGTGTGGTGCAGAAGGAAACTTTACTCAGTGCAAACAGCTCAATTGTGATACAGCTCGGTTGTGAGCATAGCTGTGGAATAGGTCAGTAGTATTACAGCTCAATAATGAAACAATATAGCTGTGAGGTGGCCCTGGGGCAAGGCGGGCCCCGGGTCAGCTCTGGTCTGCTCTGCTCTACTCTGGTCCTGCGAGACATCTTTGGTGTTTCTTTCATCTTCGGTGTTTCAGCTCTAATTGGGGAAATGCAGTCTTCTGTCTTAGGGAAAGGGCATTTCCGGAGCCACAGGGCAGCTGACTTATATAGAGGGAAGGCCCTGCTCCAGTCCATGATTAGTCCATCCTTATGCAAATGAGGACTCCAATTTTCAAAGTTTGATTGATCCAAAAGGCACTGTCCCAATTGGTCATAATGGACCCACTCTGATTGGTCTGTGAAGAGTTTGATGGTCATAGTGCAATGCAGCTCTGATTGGATGGGGAGAGTTTCAGATCTATTGGTTGAAATACCATTCCAGAAACTCCTTTATAAATGTTGGCTCAGATGGCAGGAACACAGTGCAGGAGGCAGGCAGTTCACTGTGGGAGGAAGTCAGTTCAGTGCAGGCTTCATCCTGAAGTGCGGTTTGAGGGAGAGGCCCGTTTATAAATGGCTGTTAGGCTCCACTTTTAAATTTGAGCTCCTTTAGCACAGGAGTCCTTGGTAGTGTAGTGTCTTCTTTCTCCATAATTACAAGCCTATGAAATAGGTATTGTTACACCTTTTATATTTTAGGAAACTAAGGCTTAAAATGGTTATCTCCAACAGCTAGTAAACAGGTTCTGATTCTTTTTTTTCTTGAGATAATTACAAGGGGCTAGCTAATTTAGAAACAATATGATTTTAAAATAACATTTAAGTTATTTAAAAATATTTTAAATTAACATACCATAGTATATTGATATATAATAACTGGTAATTGATATGTAATGATAATTAATGTATAGTTATTATGAGTCTGTGAATAAAGTTGCTACCATTCATGAAGGATAGATAAGCACATCCTTGACCTATGTCACTTTAAAAAAAATGAGATATAATTACCATATAACGTTATATTAATTTCAAGTGTACAGCATGATTTGACATTGTGAAATAATACCACAATAAGTCTAGTTAACATCCATTACCCCACATAGTTACCGATTTTTTTTTGTGATCAGAACTTTTAAGATCTACTTTACTAACAACTTTCAAATATATAATATATTACATGCTACACAATAGTGGCCATGCTTTACATTACATCACCATAAATTATTTTATAACTGGGAGTTTGTACCTTTTGACCACCTTCACCCATTTTACTCCCCCACCCCCACCTTTGGCAACAACCAATCTGTTTTCTGTATCGATGGCTTGGTTTCTTGTTTTCTTTTAAATTCTATATATAAGTGACATCATATGGTATTTATCTTTCTCTGACTTATTTCACTTGGCATAATGCCTTCAATGTCCATTTGTGTTGTCAAAATTGGCAAACTTTCCCATTTTTATGGCTGAATAATATTCTGTGTATATATCCATTGAGCCATCAATGTACACTTGGGTGCTTCCATATCTTGGCTATTATAAATAATATGCAGTGAACACAGGGTTGCATATATCTTTTTGAGCTCATGTTTTTATTTCCTTTGGATAAATACCCAGAAGGGATTACTAGAGAATATAGTAGTTCTATTTTTAATTTTTTCAGGAAACTTCATACTGTTTCTGTAATGGCTGCACCAATTTACATTCCCACCAACAGTATACAAGGATTCAGGGTCTGATTCTCAACCACTGTGCCATTTCTGTATAGTACCTATAAGAATAATTATCAATATAAAATAAAGAAGAATATTTTTGATAGTGATATTTAGAATATTGAAAAATTGGCCATGTTCTAAATCCAACAACAGACATAAGTAAATATTTTAAATCTTTCAATGGGGTATTTTGAAGAGAATATGGAAGAAAGAATGGAAAACTCTGTTGACAATGTAATTATAATGATGCGAAAATATACATATAGATGGGGGATTACAAATCAATAACAACATGCTATGAAATCGTGGCCCTCTGCCTCCTCCAGGGACCTGAAGGCTAAAGGATCTCCAAGAGTCTTACTTGTTCTGATGCTCTTTGGGTCCAATAATGATGACAAGGTTTCTTAATCCCAAATATAATAATACCTTTTCAAAGCCATGGTTTTCCATTCTGATACAGAATGACATTATTCCTTAATTTCCTCATGTAAAATTAGGATAACCTACCCTCTACCCTCATACATACGTTGAAGGTTAAAATTTATGCAAAATAATCTTGTTTGTTGGCATAAGCTATTTTGTAATTTTTCTGCTCCATGGCCTAACATAATGCTTTGTGCATAGTAATTCTAAATAAATACAGAATGGATAACCTTTGACCTCTTAGTATCAAATGCAACTCCAAAGAAGAAACACCATATAAGCCATTACCTATTATTATATTACAATTCAAAGAATCCATTTTTAGTGTTCTAAAAACAATATGCTTTAGACAGGTAACTATCATTCTACCATTTTCTTCATTTACATTTAACTTTGCATTTAAAGAGGCAATGTGAGCCTTTTGAGCTCCTTTTGCTCTCCTGCTCCAAACTCTTTGGAGTGTAATTTCTCTTTTAATAATGAGCCCTTGAGCCATTCTCTACTGCTCAGCCCGCTTCTATTTATTTGAAGTGTACTATCTCTTCTAATAAACTGCTATTTTACCATTTAAAAAATAAATAAATAAATAATAAAATGAAAAAAAAATAAAGAGGCAATGTGGCATACTAGAAAAAGCATAGGAAATCCCCCAAAATATTTGTTCAAATCCCCAAAAGTACTTGCTATAATGTTTATGATCTTTACAAAAGGTTAAATGGCTTGTGCTTCAGACTCCATA